AAAAGCAATAAGTCGGCTACTGCACTTCGTGCAGTCAGCCGACTTAATAAAAGAAAAGAAAACTATCTTGTCTATTATTGTAAGAAAACAAAATCTATATAGAGATGAAAATGATCATGTATCATAACTAACAATCTGTGAAATAAATTAATTTTCTTGAAACATATGTATATAATATATTGAGTTGGAACATGAGTTTTGCATATTTTTTGTTTTATTCCGCCATGTACTGTTAACCCTTGGACTAGCAAGCTTATTTTTGGAGATAATATGATAACATGTATTTGTATTCTATGATTTTGATTGCTGGACCGGTATTTTCGCCAAAATTAGGTTATTTTCCTCTTCAGTCTTGTGAAGAAATTATTAGAATTCCAGTTTGTCTTTATTTAGAACAGTTTAGTTTCACATCTCGTTCAAGCAAAAAAAGAATGATAGAGAGAACAAGATTCCTAACTCTATATTCGAAGTCTAATGAGTCATCGATTTGACTAATTGGATAGTCTCAATCTATGGCAAGAAATTGTTTAAATTAGGTTACAACTATATCCAATTAGCTAAGTAATGATTCACTGCATTGAAGACTAATAATTCGACTGGTTTTACATTTTCCGTGTCTTATTATAATTTAGCTAGCAGATCAAGGTATGATGTCATATTAAATACTCATAATCAGTATATAAAAAAGGAAGATGATTTCTTTTTTTTATAGTCAAATTTGGATTCTAAACATTGGAAAATGTTAAATATATTGAAAAATAGGAAAAATATTGAGATATTCTTGTTAAATGCCTGTTTCCTAACGTGGGGTCCATTTGAACCCCGCTTGGTTGTCCAAGGTTTTATTATTTAGAACAATATACAAAAACGAAAGAATTGTATTTCTAGTATGATTTACTTGTGGATAATTATTTCATGAGACAACTGAGTTGATTAGGAGAATTACGTTGTCGGTTCGTGTTAACTACTATTTTTGCTGTTTTGTTTCGTTTTACACAAGGATCTATGTTAATCAATTCCACAGATAATGAGTATCACTGGATTTTGAACTTAAACATAAAAACAAAGAGATATTAATTCCATTTTTAGCTTCATCACTTAATCTATCAGCATAGATGAAGAGAATCTTCATTGTTGACAACAATAGATACAACCCTAAAATGATAAATGTTTTGTAATACAAACACATCTAATAAACGAGAATAACGAAAGTTTTTAGTGGTAGAGATCTGGTCTCGTAGTGGGACTATATTTCCTATATTTGTCAAAAAATTGAAGATTGCTCGCAAAAAAAGTCAAATATTCGTTGATCTGAACGTCAAGAAAGCAACAGTAAGATGTACAATGGAAGAAAATATAGAACATGTTTTGTGTAAATGAAGTTTGTAAGCAATTGCTGTAAGAAAAAGAAGAAATATTAATGAAACCAATGCATTTTAACGTGAACTTCATGAAGGTGACTAGACAGTCACCAATGACAGTGAACGTTTAGAAGAACTTGCAACCAAGAAATAGTCTTGATATAGATAAAGCTATAAGATTAATTGAGGATGATAATACTGAAAGTTAAACGATCTGGAACAGATGTTGACAATAAAAAACAGTTGATTAAAATTAGAAGTAAATGAAAAATTGATTTTGACCAAGAAGAACAGAAGCGATAAAAACTACAACTGATTCAGCGATTACTTATAATTAAAACAGATTTGTACTTGTGTATATTTCGAATTATACTTTTAGGTATGAGAGATGTTTTAATAGGATCAAAAAGTGGTATAGTTTATATTATATAAACAAAAAAATAATTTTTTTGTGGTCTCTATTGCATTTGATTACGTTTGTAATCCTATACGTCCGTATCTGTAGCGTAGTTAAAGATTCTTCATAAAGAATATCTATGAAAAGGAACAAGGAAGGAATCAGTCAAAATTGGATACAGAGAGAGGAATGTTAAATACATAGGGACGTCTGGATGCTTGCCTCGAATTTTTTCATTTTCTTGTCATTTTTCGCGAAGTTTTTGAAGTTGAGCAGATTTCAATAGTATTTTTAATAAGATTTCTCATTGAAAATCTATGATTTCTTCTTGATTAGACGCATGACAGCTCTCACTTCTACGGATTAGTTCTTTTACGAGAACTAGATCTAGTGACTGGTTCTTTTCATATAGAACTAGTTTCATCAATTCTTTTAACATGAACTAGTCCCAGTTTTTTATAAAAAAAGTAATCATTAGTTTTAGACCTTTTTGCTACGAATTAGAGTCAGTTGTTTTGAAAAGCACTGATCGCCAGTTCGAGTTCTTATTAAAAGAACTAGTTTGTTGAATCAATTTCGTTTCACTATCGGGAACTGTCATAAGTCTATCGTTGATAAAATATTAATTAATTGAAAAGTACATTATAGTTGAACCATAAATTCTTTCTAGAGAAACATCTTGAAAAATATGTTTAACATTGAACCTTGAAAAGAATCGGTTGCATCCAGAGAGGAGAGTGGGAGTAGTCGAAAAAAAGCGTTTTCTGACTAGGTGTCTTTTATACATGATATCTTTAAAATAAATCAAACACAAATTATGTTTTTTCGATTTCTCAAAGAGATACTTTATTATAATACTGTTTTTCACAAGTTGAAGATATTTGTCTTTAGTTCATCAGATACACGTCAAATAAAATAGTCTATAATCTTCAATGAGATTGATAGATTTCTCCGATTTCTAAAGACTTTAACGAAAATCAGTATCCTATATATTTCCTATATAGTTCGAGAAAATCCTATGTAAATAGTGGTAGACAATTCCTATGTGTTTCTATATTTTTATAGATTGGCGCTACGAGCCCAGGTGGAGATAGATGAGATATATTACGTACGTCATTTCATTCTATAAAATCATCGGAAAACGATATATTAACCTATTCTCATGAAAAACCTCTACTAACGTGATGTCAATAAAATGCACTTTACTGATATATGCCTTTTGTCTATCAAAAAAGTATTGTTTAATATATTCAAATAAATTGTCTCTACTGAATAATTAAATAATCAAAAAGAATGTGTTCGTTCCTTAGCAATTTAATCTAACCATTAAACAGTGCTCATACTTTTGTTTCGAAGAAATATTGAAAAAAAAAATTATAAGAAACTAACATACTAGTTATTACAGTTCCGCAGGACGACCAAAAAGCCCTCGTGTGTCCTGCCACTGTTTGCTTTCTTTCACCTTGTCCCCTTGCAATTTTTTTTCTTATTTCATCTAATCCCGATGCGCGATCTATCTATCCTATGCCGTCCTGTCGTCTGTATACTACATATTATTAGTCAGTTTTTTCTAATGTATCTCTGTTTTTTTGAACGCTACAGAATCTCACGACTTTTGGCAGACCCTGCTCAACAAGTTTTTGTTCTAATTTTTAAGATTTCTTAGATCTCGATAGAGTTAACCAATCTAGCAAACAGCACTATTTAAGGTAGAGATGATGAATTTTCTACTCAAAAAAGTATTTGAACGAGTAGCCATGATATTTTTGACTTATCCAGTTTGTTTTAAGTCTCTCTTCAAAAAAATTTTTTTATGAATCATTTTTTATCAAAAGAATGAATTTCTTGGCTATAGCACAGCAAGCATTAATTAATATAACGACAGTTTAAGTGTTCAGATTTGTCAAATAGCCAACGACTATGAAATTTGTTCGAAGCAGATTTGTATACGATGCTAAGTTAAAACAATTCTGGTAGGTTTCGGTTGGACATAGTGGCAGAACTTCATAGGTATAAGACTATACATTGTCATTATTTACTGTGAATTCATAGTAACTATTAGATAGTTTTTAGATTTCTATTTTGCTGATAAATGTTTTCAACATGGATAATGTACAACCGAAAATACTAATTTTCTTTGCATTTTTTCGTTTTTTTGATAAAATGGATAGCTTAGTTTTGGCAAAAAAACTAATAATAGCAATCTCAATCAAAAGTTTTGTCAATAGATTCTTTATTTTCAGTCTATTTGTCTTAAAGAATTTCGGACTTTTATCCAGCATTGACTATCACTATTGCTGGGCATATACCTCACCCGTTAAACGATTATATGAGAAAATATTGTCGACCTTTCTGTTGAAAAAGCTTCGTAAGATCAGAAAATAATCGAAGCGTCCCATTCCGTTCCGCGTCGCGCGGGGAACCGTTTCTCCTGCTCAGACAAATTTATGTTATAATACACGACAATCATTTTCATCAATAAATTCTGATTTTCAACCAATATCATCTCATCATCAATAATACAGTTATCGACTAGTTGATGTTCTTAAACTAACATTTTTAACTGTGCCAATATAAGTTTAACAACAATTAACATCACAACTTTCAACATAGAATTTATCTGTACCAACAGCAAATATTACAACAAAATTATCAACCAAATCAATGTCAAAGAAAACCGATACAAAAGCACAAGAAAAATCAACAACTATTATCGAACAATCATCATCTACTGTTCGAAATGTTGAAATTCAAACAAACGATAATTCATTCACAAGAACAACAATAGCAGGAGTAACAATTGTAGATAATGCATATCAATATGTTGATGTAATGCCTACACTTAATCCATCATCGTATGTTCATTTTATTAATGTATCTTATTCAGTACAACAATCATCATAATTTTTTCAAGATAACCTACTAGAAACATCTATAATGCAAGATGAATTTATTAATATCAATGATTATCATCAACCATCGACTAATATACAATCAATGCCAAATATTGCTTTAATACAAGATAAAAACAAAAAAGAAAGAAATATTTTTATATATTGATATTCAACAATAATACATGTATTTACTCTAACAATATGTATATAAAAACTCCTTCCATTGATTTTCTGCTCTCCTCTATCCGATTATTCTCGGACAATATTGTATCATTGACAAGATTCTTCGTTTATCAATCATTTGCTGTATGCTTCAACATATATGTTATGTGTTTTATTCTTCTTTTAACAGACACATTGCATAAACATTCATCCTTCTATATGATCTAATTGATGGTAAAAAATCTCTTTTTTTTCCTTCTCTCTTTTCATATAGTTTCGCCTCATCACTTATATGGTTCATCTAGTTCACGATATTATCATCTTTTTCCATAAATATATGATGAACAGTAATCATAACAACTGCAACAAGCACCATTAACAGATACTAAATCAATTGGTGTTCGTTCAGCTACAGTACTTCAAATGGCATCAACATTGAAAATTACACGTATTGAAACAGGAGAAACAAATGAATCAAGTTTAGCATCACTTGATTTTGCTCATACTAATCGTATTGATATACCTGGATTATGATGATATCGATCATTATCTGATGGATGATCAGTATCTGTAACAACGGCAGAAAGACGTTATCATATACCAATATCTCAATCATTTATTGATCTTCAACACTATGCCAATGATCCAGGACATATTGTAACGTTCATCTAGTTTTCGTCATCTTCAACAACAATAACTATTGACAGAAATACGACCATTTGGTTCAATATCAACAATTAATAGATAAAAATTATAAATTATTTTAAGGAAAAACAATTTTATTTTTCAATTTAAATTAGACTATTTGATTCAAGCAAAAGTCAACAATCAATTCAACTTGCTCCAACAATTCGTTCAAAATGAAAAAGATATTTTAAAAATTGCATCATTTGATCAAAGTATTGGTACACTTGTTTATGTTGTTTGTAGTATTGCAACACTTTACACATCGGATTTTGATACTATGACTAATTTAAGAGATTGAAAAAAACTTTATGCAGGTGTATCTATATGGCTTTTTAATACTGATATGAATCCTTAAAGGTATAAACATAAAAGTCTTTATTTTATAGATTAATAATTCTTTGTGTTTTTTTTCAAGAACTCATTGTATTCATTTAATAATCTCGGAACTTGGTTTAAGTTTTGCAGTGTGGGATACAATCGTTAATGGTACATCTGATGTTCGATTATCAAAAGCACTTTATATAACATTAAAATCACTTGAAACAGATAGAATATTTGCATTAAAATTTAATGATATAACTGCAACTGATAAATTCCATATTTTGTTAAATTATCATGTGATCCACGTAATGCGAATTTATTTGATATATTTTATTCCAAACGACATCCACCTATTTTTATTTTACGTAAAAATAAAATAAGAAAATTAGCTATTTCAAAATCATCGGAATTTAATCTCGTGTTTAGTTTTTTAATTTGTTGTTGTCTTACGAGGGAACTACTCCAACTGATTCCGAGCTTTCGGCTTCATATTTTTGCTACAGATAGGCCTCAGTGAGACTAAGAAAATCCTAGAAGCATTCGTCCCCATGGGCTGCTGGGCCAAAGTTATAGCCATTTTACTGAATTTTAACCTACAACACGGTTTCCACAGTAAAGTTAAATGAAGGTATTTCGGTCTGATACTCTGCCCATAAACACGTCTAATGATTCCTATCATGTACCAAAATTTTCAATCAAAACGGATGCTTCCTTCTTGAGATATTCAATTTGCAGGACAGCTCCGTTATTGTAACCTACCTGTTATAGGCAGACATTTTTGAAAATTGAATATCTCAAGAAGGAAGCATCCGTTTTGATTGAAAATTTTGGTACATGATAGGAATCATTAGACGTGTTTATGGGCAGAATATCAGACCGAAATACCTTCATTTAACTTTACTGTGGAAACCGTGTTGTAGGCTAAAAATTCAGTAAAATGGCTATAACTTTGGCCCAGCAGCCCATGGGGACGAATGTTTCTAGGATTTTCTTAGTCTCACTGAGGCCTATCTGTAACCAAATTATGAAGCCGACAGTTCGGAATCAGTTGGAGTAATTCCCTCGTTAGTTAAATATGTATGTTGTATATTGAAATTATTTAATAAAAGAACATGTGATGGATTTTTGAATTGATGAAGTATAGTACGAATAATTATTTTTTTATTGCCAGTGAAATAAATTGTTTGACTAAAAAAAATTTATGTTTGAAAATAGTTATTAACTAATAAACATATAATGGATTTGCTATCGTGCGTCTAAGAATAAAGTAAATTTTAATAAAGTTGAATTATCTTTGTCACATTTTAGTTTGACATTCAGCAATAACATTTCGAAATTATTTCTACATATAGGACATAAAAACATTTAGATATTTTCTCAAACATTCATTTTCATTTCATCATAGACTTTTCTATCTTGCAAAAAAGTTCATACAAATAAGTAATTGTTATTCAAATCAAATGAAATCTATTTATCTCAATTATCAATAAAAGACGGGAAATAGCGTTCAGTATAGTCAATAACACGACATCATAAATTTGAATTTAAAATATATAATATTATAGCCCTAAAGAGGGCTGTTGGGTTTTAGTTAATGTTGGGTTTTGCTTATTACTCCGAGAGATTTAATGAGTTTTTTGGTTAATTAAGATGTTTTGGTAGCGATGTTATTCATCTCATTTGATCTTTTGTGGAAAGTTCCGTACGTCGTCAAGTATTGAACGATATAATGGGTCATTTAGTCAAGATTGTCGATTCGAAGAACGCATAAGAGTATGATGTGGCGGTGGTCCCATGCCAAAACTATCGTCCATCATAGGTAAAAGATCCATATATTGTTGTTGATGATTAGATGGTGGAGCAAATAATGGATCCATATATTCCCTAGACTGAAAGGATAGGGTGTAGAAACGGGAATTGATCTGTCCGCGCGTATATCGTTTTTGTCGGTAACATGGCACAAATGACCATTTTTTTGGCACAAGTGACCATTTTTTTTGGCACAAATGACGATTTTTTTGGTACAAACGACCATTTTTTTGGTACAAATGACCATGTAACTATGGCAGAAATGAGCAGTTTTTGACACAAATTACTATTTTTTTTTGAGACAACGACCACGTAACTACGGCACTAGTGACCATTTTGGTAAATATGGTACAAAAGACCATATAGTACCCATATTACAAATCAGCATATGATGTATAATAAAATTGTGACAAGTGAATCACAACAAATACGGAATTTTATGATGTATGAAAATGTTATTATTTTAAATGTGATTTTTATTGAATATAAATAGCGCTAATTTTATTAACGCTTTTTTGTACTCAGAAGAATTTTAGTATTAACTTTTTAATCTTAATCTTATAACTTTCTAACACATGTGTCCTTATGACGTCAGTCTTGGGCCAGGTGAATCGACTGTCGATGAACGTTACTTATTGTTGTTGATGATTGGATGGTGGAGCAAATAATGGATCCATATATTGTTGTTGATGATTAGAGGGTGGAGCAAGTAATGGATCCATATTTTGCATTTTAATATAATGTAGAGGTGGTAAATGATGAAGATGCTGTTGCATTGTATTGAATGATAGTGGTAGAGGTAGTAAAATTTTGATGAATATGATGGACCACCAGGATTTGAAATGATCATTCCATTTGGATTTATTGAATCTGATGGATCTAATATGCGATGATGGGAATTTATATTCTAAACAAAAAGAAAAATTCTAATATTCTTTTTACAAACAAAAAAACCATACTTGTATTTTCATATGTGGTGATAAATTCATAATATCTATTGATGTTGAGATATGTCTTATGTTTGGATTTAATATTTGCGTTGATACTTGATTAGTTGATGAATTATATGATATTCCATTATCTGGTCCATATGTTCGGTTTAAATGTAATTCTTCGTTATCCATATCTGAAGAAAAACAAACATGAAAATAATGATAAAATTTTTTAAAACAATTATACCAAATGTATCAAATTCATTATAACACATTTTTGTTGATGATGTTGTTAATTGTGCTTCATCTACATTTCCATGCAACTTTTGATTAATTGATGATGGTACAGGATGTGGAATGAATTGTTCGGATTGGCCAACATTATATAAATATGATGTTGTGGAAGAGTTCATTTTAGATGAAAATAACCTCCCATTGGATCTTAAATTATCTTCAGGTGATGTTGTAGCAATTGAAGATGTTAATGATGATGATGATGGTAACATTTGATTTATTCGATTGACGACAACAATCAACTTTTTCTTAAATTTTTCTTCAATTTTAAAACTACAAAAGAAAACTAGAATATTTTTTCTACAAGAACAACATCTTACCGATAGGATCTTTCGACTTTTTGTACATGATCATTAATAAAACATGATATTTTTTCATTTAATTCTAATTGATTATTCTAAAATTAGTAAATTAATTTTTTTATTCTATATCAAATAAAAATACTTTTTGTGATTTGAAAGTAACAAATACCTTATCTATTGTCTTCTTCATTGCTATATCTATGTCTATATCTATGTCTATACCCTTATATTTATAACTGACCATGTACGATCGATTGGTACCAACTGCAAATGCCAATGAATAACGTCCCCACTTCAAGATTGAAAATAAAAGTATAATAAAAACTTTTTGTTTTTTTTTTCATACTCTTTGTTCTCGATAATGAAAATTCATTGTTTCCAATGTCGATTGTAAGTGCTGAAATATACATTCAAGCATTTCTTGTTCTTCTTGTTTTTTTTTTTGAAGTCATATTTTATATCGAAATCTAAAATAAAAAGCAGATGACATGCACAAATAGCCGCACAATAAAATCCTTTTAAATTTTCTTCTTTTATAATTTTTATCTTGAATATAAGCAGCTGAATGATTTGAATATAATAAATATACTGGAGGATTTTCTTCATAAGTATTTTCAATAAATTTCATTGTATGATTCAACAGCTAATAATAATTCATTATTTGAATAGTATAACTGAATGACCTAGTTTTTCTCCATCGAAAAAGTACATAAATTTTAACACCATTGTTCGCCTAAAATTATTTCTTTCTTTCTCGACTAAAACGAATAGATAATACGAATAACGAACGAACTTATATAATAACGAAATTACAAAGAATACTAAAAGATACGAAAGAAACAAACGAATTTATATCAGATATCGCTAGTTAACAATCAAATACAAACAAAAAATCTTTCCTATTGATATGATATCTTTTGAGAAAACATTTATTTTAGATATGATCTAAATCGAAAAGTTCAATTAGCTGATCCAAATAGTTTAAATATAGTTAGAAACAAGATCATTGAAACATTTATTCAGAAGAAAATAAATGTTTAACCCTTTGCGGCCGGATGTTGCCATTTGGCAACATTTTCCCCTATAGGAGTACGAGATTTGTCGAATAGCCTACCGTAAAGGGTTAAACATGGAATAATTAGTTCATTATCTGTAAGAGGAAATATTTTGTTTATGTTCAATAAAGTTATAACAATGAAAAGAACTTTATGATTTCATGCCAAAAGTTTATTTTTCATCTCAAACACATCATCATTTGTTTTTTCTGCAGTAATAACAACAATTGTAATCAGTTAAATTAATATAATTGCAAAAGCATGGAAAAAAAGATTTATTGAAAAATAATAAATATTAGCTTTCATACAATTAAATCAATTGATTTTATCAACTTTATATTTTCCTATTACAATAGCTGTAATATGTTCTGAATCAGAGATGGACAAGCCGCGGTGTAAAACCGCCCCGTCCCGCCCCGCCTGCGGGGCGGTGCTAAAACTTGGCGGGGCGGGGCGGTGACGGTGCATGACGAAATTTCGCGGTTTCTCCGCCTTTGTATAACCTTGATTTTTTAAATATACTCAGACCTTTAGAGACATCTTTTAAAAATTTAAAAATTTTTTCACAAAACTAATCAGTAAAAAAGTCTTGTTAGCGCAGCTCCAGAGGAGCTAAAATGTGGAACTCACATATATTTTTTTAATTTTTTGTTCTGATGCCTTATTTTTAAATTGTAAAATACCTTTTTCCCGAATACGTATGAAATCATTGATATATTATATAAAAACTAGAGCCTTTTATGCGCTGCTAAGGTCTGTAATGGTGGGAGTCAGGGTTACCAGATCGAAAATTAAAAAATCAGAAAAATTTTTCTAAAAATCGGGAAAAAGTCGGAATTTTTGTTCTCGAAATCGGAAGAAAATCAGAAAGTATTTTTCCATACTTAAATAACTAGTCTATATATTTTCGATAGCTTCAATATCCTTTATCTTGCTTCTGTTCATCTTTTCGAATCAATATTGGAAATGATATTTCATAAAGAATTAAAGAAAATATCGATTACACAATTTACTCATGATTGAGAAATCTACATAAGTAATTTGAACAGGATCACATTATTTTTATCAAAAATGCTATAACCAACTTGACGAAACAATAGAATCAGTATTGTAAATTCATACACACACATGCATTTCACAAAACTTATGCAAAAGAAAACTAAGACTTATTCTGTATAATGTTCGTTTTTGTTCATACTTTTTTATTAGCTCGAATACTCTTCAAAATATCAGGTTGAGGTAACAGATATTCATAAAAATGTCCACAAATATAAACAGAACTCATTCCGATTTTCAATTCTGCAACAGCAAAATTAGTACCCATACGATTATGATTAGTTTTATGATATCTGTGATGAAACAAAAAAGCTCAGAAACGAAAATATTCTTAATTAACACTATAGTAAACGAACAGAGAAATTTAGTTCATCGTAATAGAAAGCTGGATCTTAATTGTCTGTAAAAATCATAGTTTTATTGGAGGATATGCTTTCAAATCACTGCAGTGTGGTTTGTTGAGTTCATGATGCTTCACTACCCGATAACTATGGTGAAATAGATCGCAATATATGTGTGGTGTCGTGTCATGGTTAAACTATTCTAGAATGTCCTAAGAACTTGAATTCCCAAATAAGACTTCGAAAACCGAAGAAAAATTAGGAAATCTGAAGGCAATCGGAAAAATATGTTAAAATCGGAAAAAATCGAAACGTCGGAAAGTCGTTGGAGAAACTTTCAAAAATCGGAATTTTTCCTGCCGTATTGGAAGATCTGGCAACCCTGAGTGGGGTGTCTGTAATGGAGTGGAAGAAGGGGAAGAGTCGCCAAATCTGGAACTTAACACTTACAGTCACTATTTTCTTCGAAAATATACGTGAGTTCCACAAAATGAGTGACTGTATTATAATTGCCTTTCATTTTCATATATTTATTTTTTTCTATTTCGGAACGATGTTTATGCATTTAAAATATGCCTCTTCATCTCATGAAATGAAATAGCCATTATGAAAATTTAATGAAAAATTTGTCAATAAATAGTTTTTTAAAACATATTTTTGACGGGGCGGGGCAGGGCGGTGGCGGTGCGGAACTTTATCAGCGGTGCGGGACGGGGCGGTGACGTTGCGACTTTTTTTGCTGACTCGTCCATCTCTGGCAGATATTACTGAATCACAAGCACTGAAGATAATACCAACATTTCTTGAAGGGCCTGCTAAACAAGGGTTCGCTGAAAATAATACAGCATTAGAATCCTGGAGTGTGTTCAAAGCTGAATTTCTTCACACGTATTCATTTCCAACACTTAAACAATTAGCATCTCATCGTTTGCGCAATCATCAACAATGTCACGATGAACCAGTTATCGAATATTATACAGATGTTATGAAATTATGCAAAATAATTGATTATAACATGACAGACGTATCAAAACTTGATCATTTATATCATGGTTTAAAATTATCTTTAATGAAAGATGTATTACGTCGAGCACCAACAATGCCATCCGAATTTTAAGAGCAAGCTAGACAAGAAGAACCTTTAGATCGTCTAGTGTCTACATCTATTTATCAGCCAGTTAACAATGATAGTGAGACGTGTCACATATCTGAAATATCGGGCATGCTAGAGATGCAAAGGGAGATGCGGGATATACCAAACAATCACCCAAAGACAATTCAAATATTGCCGCTATACGAAATATTTCTAGCGTGGCCGGCATCTCCCGATCATATAAAATTACATCGAAAAATTTTGCTGCGTATGGTTCGTGTAAAGCAACTCTATCATGTGGTACTGAAACATTATTTTATGTACAGATGGAGGGTATACATGTAGATTAAGACGCTTGTCTGCTTTGCACTCTCACCTCATACCATAGTTTTGATTGCATTGCTATGCAGCTGATTGGAGTGTCTCATAGTGGAATGATATGTTCGTAAAAACACCATTGACTTTTAGCAATTGTTTTATCGACTGCTCATCGTTTATTCTGTTTTCACAAATAGTATGGATAATATTAATATGTCGCTAGGTCATGAACAATTGATACAATCATTCAACAAAATGCTTCGGGGCAAAGTCATAACAGTCTTTTCATCATTAACATTTGCGATGAAACGAATAGATTGATTGAAATCAGTAACGATATTTAGTACGTTAATAATTTATCGTTATTTGGTAGTTGTGTTATAATGATCATTGTTATTGATTCGATCAATATTGGCATCTAGCTAAACAAATAGAAAATGATGTTATGCTCTTATTATTCAAGTGATACTCTGACATCTGTATATACGAAAGAATAGATTTTTCGGATTGTTTTTTCCGCATTAATAGAATGACTAAATTTTGCTAACATTTTTTTCGTAATTATAAATCAGCTAAATAAACACAATCATTGTTAATGTGAAGGTCTCCAAGATGGTTCTTTCATTCCTAAGATATTGAATTTTTCTTAATCGTGATGATATTCATTTTTGTATTTTCATTTTTGAAATACTTCTTTGTATTCTGATATTTTTGCTGTTAGAATAAAACGTAACGAGTGACCAAAAATATAAATTAGTCTTAAATCAACAAGTTTTTAGCAATAATTAGTATATATTAATATGTCGAGATATATTTTTCATGAATATTGCGTGTTACAGTCGTCATTTCAGTTTTCTTGTTCCAGACAAGAAGTAAATATTATTTTACATCGAATAGTTTGTTAGACAAAATGAGAGAATTCTATAGACACAATTACTTAATGTAGGAAGCGAAAAACAAATTAGAAATAATTCTTCTCATAAGCATGTACAATAGTGTTCACATCAAGGAACTGAGCACATTACGTCAAAAAAATGAAGTAATTCAATTCATAGACTGTTACAAAATTTGCTTCGATTTATTTAATTCAACTAACAAATCTTAAAACTTTTTTCTCCAAATTTAAACTCAAATGAATAATTCTGTACAAATAGTTCCAATACAGATTTATTTCAAATGATTAAAATAATGAAGTTGAATTGAAGTTTGAACAAAAAAAAACAATAACATACATTTACCTATTAATAAATTTATCTTTCTCTCTTGTACATCATGGATTTTCATGTTAATTACAATAGTATTGTTTTGTTTAAAGAAAGGATATTTTGCTACAACTTGAAATCTTATTATACCTGAACATAGAAATGCAATAAGTATAAATGGAAACATCAAAATACTAACTTATTCATCGGTTAAATATTAGCATCGATGATACAATCAGCTTCATTCCAATAAAACGTTTTGAAATTGACTTGATGTTCTAATGAAATTTTATTCAGTGTTGTCTTGTATACATTTTTCATAAAAATTTTAAAAAGGATACGCAAAACAAAATTTCATACATCCATAGTTTAAGTTGGTGCATTGATCTTGTAAACCAGAATTGCAATTGTTTATTTACATAAACAAATGATTGAATAGATAAATGTGTCACAGTGAATTGGAAATATGTGCATTAATTTGATTATGCTAAAAGACTTTGTTATGTTTACTCATGTTGTCATCCTTGATTTGTCTCTTAGAGGGTAGATTGCAAAATGATAATAATGTCAGAGCTGCTTAAATATTAATAAACATACTTATGGTAGTCGAGTAAAATAATGAAAACAATATGAGTCAATTTTTCGTCGTATTTTTTTTTACGTCATAACTTTTGCTGACAGTGCTGACGTCATTGTAATCATTCACAACTTTTCCATACATGGTGAAATTACATATGGATAATCAGCTTAAGAATTATACTTTATAAATAATACAATACATGTATTAACTACGCATTTGATTTTTCACTCTTGGAAATCGAACTGCTATATATGAATTAATGAATTTTTCTTGTATTTTTACTCGTATGTTATATATTCTCTTAACAATACATACATTTGGCTTATCACAGGTATAATCCATATCAACTATTCTCGCTTTCTGAGAAATTTTATTGATATTTGTATTGTTATTTCTTGTTTTTGTTTTTGTTTTTCTATGATTTCTAGAAAAGAATATTTAGTTTCAATGATGGCGTTATTATCTATGTAATAAATGCATAAAATATGTATACGCGAGATTGTTTTTCTTTTCATTCGCAAACAACACGTATTACTTACTTAAATTCTCTGATTTCAGATGTCAAAAAGCAAAGAACAAATAAAGGCTATATTATCCAATAATGGCGATAAACTTGTAAATATCGTACGTGATTCATCAACACCCATACATCTACAACAACGTCAATATATTGATACAATTGAAGATAATAATTCAGCAACATGCACATATGATTGGTATGATGCGCAAGCATTTGATACCAAACATCTTGAGAATTACGTTTGTTGATTCGTGGGTTCTGTTGAAAATCTGACGAACTCATCAAAAAATGTGGGTGTACCACAAAAACCAAATCCTTATTATTTTACACAGTGTAATAAGTGTCAATATATCATTTTAACAAATCGAGATATTGGCAAGAAACTTGTATGTATGAATCCACGAGAGTCATGCCGTCATTATAATCATACTCAACCACTATCCAATAGTGAATTCATGAGTGCCATCTTAGAATTAGTAAATGAACATTTTAAACTCAATTCTACATAAAAATGTTTGATATTTTTATTTCTTTTCAATAAATAAAGATTAAGACAAGAGAGAAAACATTGAAAATAAATAGAAAATAGTATTTACTTGAAAAATAAAAACTTGATCATTAATTAAAACTATTCACATATGTGAGCAAATTGAACTATGTTTGTAGATAATTCTAAGAGTGTACTGTATGACACTTTCATTAGATACAGTGTCTGCCGGTAAAATGAATCTCTCGTATTCATGATATAAATCATCTTGATTTTAATAAATACGTAGATCTATTCAGATTTTCTGGCAGACAACATTATCTAACTGTGCAACTGTATTATTATTAATATTGACAGAGAATTATGGCTTAACTAATAAGACCAAGAGTCATATAACGGTTCATGCAATTATTAATAGACTTTTTTCAGAATCGTATTGATAAGACATAAAAGATTTGTAGAACAAACATATAAATATCCTTTCGTTTTCTAAATAATTTATATTCAAAATCTGGCATATTGTAAATTCAAAAACAAGATGCATGAATACTCGTTCGATATCATCTATTATTTCAAGGTGATTTCGTAGTTTTTTTTCCAATGTGAGAAACTATGGTCAATAGTATTGAACGTGATAAAGTGATATTAATATCCGCGAAATAGCGGAAGCCAAAATGAATCGCTTTTATTAAGCTAATATTCGTAATTATGTCAGAGCGAGCCCTGTTAAACGACGAACAAGCCCTAGAAAAAATAGATTATATGTTTTTTCGAACTTTGTTATCCATGAAATATCAATGGACATTACATCGTTTCCATGCCATTTTACAATGAAACATCAAACTAAACTTGACAACAGATCAATGTCAGAATCACAAGGAAAACTTTCATTCGAGAGAATAATTATAAGTTGTTTAATTCAACTAGATATCAAAAGAAATAACCTGTGAGATATTTTCGGGAATCATGATTTTTGATATTTCGAGTTGTTCAAATATCAATCATACTGACTGCAACCAAAGAGACTGACTAAAAAAAGATCTAGATTCTATTGCATTGATTCTTTTTAATAATGACTAGAATTTGAAATAAAAGAATAAAGAATGATTGATTAAAAAGATTTAAAAAAGATGATAATAAAAAGTATTCATCATGAAGGTCAACGTACTCAGTATTAGGATAGCCCGTTTTTGTTGTTGTTGATTAGCCCATGGTTCTCTTCGTTCATTTTTGGACACAAGATTAACTTAAATAAATATTATAATTTGCAGCTGTTTTATATAGAATTTTTTCTGAAGACAATGAAAAAACTTCATCACAAAAGCTATTATCTCATTTATTCAGCATTAACTTAATATGAAACAGTCGATACTGTCAGTTATTACAATAATTTAAATTTCCGAAAATTATCAAATGAAAACTAAAGTTGAATACACAGAACCGACTTCCTTCCTTGAAAATGGTTTACCATTTTAGGTGTACATAATGAATTTTAAGCTTGAATTAGTTCTACATAATTATATTAATTTGGAGATACAAGTGATTTCGGTTTATAAAACGATTGAACTGAATTTGAGATATTATTACTTGATGATAATTATGTTCGTGTTTAATTTGATATTAAGTTATTCTTTCGATGAATAGAATATATTTAATCATTGATGTATATAAAGTAATTTTGTAGAGGGTGTTTACTATGTTACTGTTTTGAATATGTGATCGATTACATAAGAAAAATAGTCTATATTAAGAAAAGAAAATATTTCATATATGTTTATCAGAAACAGTATACGATCAATTCGACAAGATTTATATAAGTCTAATTGAATAGTGATATAATTTTAGAACAACGATTACATAGTAAACTATGTAATTAGGATATCAAGTCTAAAATATAAGTATGACATCTACTGAGAGTCAAACATTGATTGGTGTTAGTTTTATCAAAAGACAAACAGACAGGCTGGCTGATAAATTTTTTTTCCAATCATATCTTGATTCTTTACTAAACATTTACAATCATGGCGAACGGAAACCTTCCTTATTCATGTGATACATTTGTTGTTTTACCGCCATTAACAGATTCAAATTTTCATATATTTGGTAAAAATTCAGATCGACCAGCAAATGAAGTTCAAGAAATTATTTTTGTTTCAAATGAACACACTAATGATAATAAGAATTTTGTTCAAGTAAAATATTTTTTTGTTTAATTATCTTTGAGTCAAAGTTATTTTTTAATTTAAATTCAGTGTACTCATATTCAAATTCCACAAGTATCAACAACTTATCGATGTATATTATCAAAACCAGCTTGGTGTTGGGGTGCAGAAATGGGTGCTAATGAACATGGCATATGTATTGGTAATGAAGCTGTGTTTTCAAAAGTACCATATGAGACACGAAAGCCTTCATTGACTGGTCTCGATATTGTTCGGTTAGTATTTTTGTGATTTAACATTTCTAGTTTTCAAGAGAAATTCTTAGGCAAAAGAATCTATTGTAATTCGATTTGCTCTCTTTTAATGATAAGAATTTAAGAGAAAAATATTTTTATCGATTTTTCTTGAACAGTTAATGATTAGTTACACTTTGGAGCAGTAATAATTATATACTCTTTAAAAAACTGGTAGTAAGAAAGAAGACTTCTAATCATCGATCCCCTAAACCTACTTATTAATTGAATAAGAAGATAAAGATCATTAACTACCGTATAAGACATCGAAAGGCATTATGACAACGTCTACCATATATTCATAAAGAGGCTTTTATTATCTTGCACTATAACATACCAGAATTATTTTATACTTAACTTATTCTACAAAATAAAATACTAGATGTTTTTCAGGCGCTCGATCTAATTGATAAAGTTTATCAATCAAACGGTCTCTGATTACAACATAGAGTGCTGTAACCAAGATGATGAATTTTTAAATCAAACATTATTAGAAAAATAGCTTCAACAAATATCTTCAAACAAATTGATTGTGCGTGATTAAACATATCTAGTAGCTCAAATACTTATTGGAGCAAAAATTTGATTAACTTTTCCTGTGGGATTTTATCTGTCAAAATGACTACTTTTTGCTGCTCCAAATAGATGCAGATGAGTTGTAAATAAATCCTTTTATACCAATGTAAAAAAAATATTTGGCTTTGATTTTTTACAAGGATTATTTTTCTAAATAAATTCTTTTAGCATAGACATATGTAAAACAACTGTTGGTTCTTTCAGCTGATAATTAATTACAAAGTAATTAGTACATATTTCTGTAGCCATATGAGAGAAAAACTCAAAAACTTCGAAATAATTCTCAGTTTCTCTAAAGCTAGTCTTTTTCTACTAATAATTTTTCTGAACAAAAGGCTCTAGCTCTAATTTTTTCAGGGTTATCTAAATGAACTTAATATATATAACGTATAAAAACAAACTCTAGGAACGTTTATCATTTGAAGATGTGTGTTTTAATTTTTTGAAGTCATGCTACTAATAAATTATTTTGCGCATGTGTTGAAACTTTCCATTAGAAGATTTCTTAGGAGAAAAGTATAATATTGAATAAAGGATAAAAACTCTAGTATATTGGATAAAAAGACGTATCAAGTTGATATTGACACAATTCGATAACGGCTGAAACTATTTTGAAAATGCTTTCTATTTTCTTCGATAATCGAGACATGCCTCAATCTTTGAATAAATTTCATTGTATAGACAATCGAAAACTGAAGATCAAAATGAATTGTTCATATAAAATTTATTTCAGGCTGGCATTAGAGCGTGCTAAAACAGCCAAATTTGCTGTTGAAATAATTGGTGAATTAATTGAAAAATATGGTCAAGGTGGAGCGTGTTTTGATGCAAGCGCAAATATTTCTTACGGTTATGATAATAGTTTTCTTGTTGTCGATGCTGAAGAAGCATGGACTATTGAAACATGTGATCATGTTTGGGTTGCTAAACAAATTAAAGGTAAAAAAAATAAATTGATCTATTTTTTTCTAAAATTAATCGAAATATTTTGTGTGTTTTTCTTTTTAATTATAGAAGGACATTATAATATGTCAAATCTATATTCTATTGAAGATGATTATAATCTTCAATCAACGAATTTACAAGAATTTGCTAAAGAAAAAAATTTATGGGATGGAAAAGATAAATTAAATTTTGCTCAAGTATTTCAGGGTCCATCACCAACGACTGATGCAAGATTAAAAGCTGGGCGACAATTACTAGAAAATTTAACTAAAAATGGTAATTTTTCAATTTTTGATATGATATCTATTTTACGTGATGATCAAGCGGGCATTTGTGTATTTGATCAAGTTCGAGGTGTACGTACAACAAGTTCTCAAGTATCTGTGTTGACATCAAATAAAACATCTCAAATAGATGCTTGTCATTTTTTAACTGGAACACCAAATCCAAAACAATCATTATTTAAACCATTTATTTTTTCAAATAATGTTCAATTAGGTCCATTAACGGTTTCATCACCTGAAGAGATAACATCACAACGTATTCATCCATTATATGCAGCACATCAGAAAGCTAAATGGGAAAATGTTGATCATAAACGTTTACAAGATTTTGAACATGAAGGAATTATGGAAATTATTAATAAACTTAAATCATTCGAAAATAATAATGTTGATACGTATGAAACATTATTTTATGATACTGTATCAGCAGAAATAGAATTATTACGAGAACATCCATGTACGAAACGCTCTTAAATTTTCACTAATTTACTTAATCTTATACACATTAATCGTGCAATATTTTTAATTTAGTCTTATAAAAAAAAAATTCTATATTGTATTTGTTTTTCATAGTATTTCAATACGTATATATATATATGCTTATTCTTTACAATGCATGTAGTCTCTTATATAAAATATATATTAAATAAATTTATAACGATATTTCCTACACTAATCTATTAATAAATAATTCAGATCTTATGTAACGAGTGATACTTTTGAGTTGTCTGATTTATGGCTGTGAAAAGTTTCTAGGAAAAG